TGCAGCTTGCCAAAAAAGTCCCAGAGAACAGCCCTTTATCTTTTTGAGGACCAAAAAATGAGTCCATTATGGGCTAGACTTACTTATCAGCACTACAATTCAAGATTTCTTGGCCCATACTTCATTCAGGATAGAATCTACTCTTGCCAAAAATTGTTAACAGCTTTCTTGGGGTGTTGAGAGCTGCTCATGCACCTCATGAATTCTGTCCTGCTCTCTGAAAGAAGAATCATCTTACAGAAATATGAAGATTCCTTTGCTGAGAGTAACGTGGAAAAGGATTTTAAAAGCAGTATATGTTTTATTCCTGTTATACAACAAAGAGAAGAAAATATGGATTATCAATACACCCAAGACATCACACACTGAAAGTTAAATTAGCAGCACAGAAAAATGGCTTTTGTAAAACCTGCAAACTTTGATATAAATGGGAGAGGCAGTTCATGGAGCTCGCACAGACTGACCATGCTTTGGAAGACATTCTTTTTTCCTGGTAGATTTTCCAGTTCTGGGAGGCACACAATTAAGTATTTATTTTAAAGTGAGGAATGTAACGATAATATTTATGAATATAAGAAAAAAAAGATGTTCTCTGTCTTTCTTTGTAAATTTCAGAGCTTTTTGAAAACTTCTATCTTCAGTGTGAGCCTAGTTTGCCAAGATTATATTTTTCCAGTTCTCTTTTTCTGTTATCCAGAAAAAAAATTCCTAAGTGGAAGTCATCTTCTGGACACATTTTTTTCTTCTGAGCACACTGTAAGTTCCTGTATGACCTTTATTTTGGTTTTAAAATTAAAACTTTGCCTGCCATTCTGCCCTTAAATTTCTTACCATTATGGAAGTGATAAATGCACTGAAGTAGGACAACTTCTTGGAAAAAAAAAAAAAAGGCAGTTTCTGTTAATGTTCAGAATCTACTGTAGTTTCTTTATAGCTGGATTTCTTCTGAGAAGCAAGTAGTTTGGATCCCGAAGGCCATTTATGTCCTGGTACTATGATTTCAAGTGATTCCCAAGTGTGTAAGTAGAAGAGTTAGACATATGGAAATGATATTGTGGGTCCCTTCCAATTTCTTCAACAATTCTTTAGCCATCTCTAATGAGTATCTCCAATTTTAATCTCTTCCAAAAGTTAGTTTATTGAAAATCACTGGCATAACTAAAACCATTCTGTGATGTTTCGATCACCCTGTGCAAGCTGTACAGTATCCTGAAGAAATCCCTGTGGGATAACACTGAGGATGAGCTGTGCAAAACTGCTTTTCTTCCCTGAATTTTCCACTGGCCTTCTGAGTACTCTGGATTGCCTGGATAGGAAAGCAATTGAAATTCAACAGTGATTGCAAGCTATCTGCAAAGCGTTTTAATATTTACTTCAAAGCAGACAACAGTGAGTTCCAGAAAATATTTTAGTAGTGCAGTATCTGTTCAGATGAAATGACAGAGAACTTTGTCTGAATAAGGATACATGTGAACCTTTTCAAAAAAAAGGAATCCAAATCTGTCCCTGCATTGCCTTGGATTGTAGGGATGTTATGACCAAGAACTATTTTTTTTTCTACCCTTTTTTTTTTTTTTTCATTCTAGTCAAGGTGTTTTCTTTCCAAGACTTATCAAGTTATTAAGGTTTCAGACTGACTCATTACTTTTGTTTCCAAGCCATTGTTTCCACTCCATTTTTATTTTTCAGCAATCTTCTGATTCGGTTGAGTAATTATTTCTGTGGTTCCATCAGGAACTTCAGTGATACTCAGCAATTTCTTCTAGAGAGTTTTGAAAGTGTTCTGTTGAGAAAGAACTGTGAGATGCAAAAGATTCTTTGGGCCACAGCAAACACATTTTAAATAACGTGTTCACACTTAGTACCTGAATAAGAAAATATCTTCTCAGCAAGCTTTTTTCTACAGGTTTTCTTTTCTGACCTGCAGACCAAATACTCTGGCTGTGATACAGCATGTGGTAGGTATTCTAGTGTTCCTTCTTAAATATTTAAATCATTCTGTGTCTTTAAAGATTTTTTTTTTAGTGAAATAATCATTCAGACTTTGGGACAAAAAAAGTGGTTGATGTGATTTGTGCTTATAAATGCTCCCCACCTGTCTCATCCCTCAGGTAACAGAAAGGTTACACATCCTGAAGAATTCAGAAATTTCCTTACCAGTAGTCCTCAAATACTGACAATACTTTTGAAAATGTTTGCTGAAATGACATTTCTTTTTCCTGGACCACATGGGAATGCTTTTCATGCTCAATTAACCCAGAAATCTCAAGAAATTTGTCACCATTTTTTCTGGAAATCCTGCCTTGGGCAGTCCACTGGGGGTAAAGCTCAGATAGATGTCTTAAAACCTCTTTAAAATAACTCCAGTTCTGTTTAGTTATGATTATTTAGTTATTATTATTTCAACTTCTTTGTCTTGTTTCAGTATCAACTTAAGTCGGGGCAATATATTCATTAACTTTGGGATGATGACCTAACCCTAAAAGTGGAAGTAGATTGTACTATGTGACTACTAAATTGCTACTAAACACTGGCTTTTATAGTCTCAGATTATGAGATCAGTCATCAAAGTAAATGCAAGTACAAATGTAAACACAGCATAATAACTAATATTTCACTGCCAGGAAAAATAGAGATAGTTGCAGCAAATTAATTCTTCAGTCTTTGACTTACACTCTTTTGTAATTATTTGGGCCACTGCTGAAATGCACCCATGCAGCACAGTAGTTTTAGGCAGGAAGCGAAGAAGAAAACTTTTTCCGATTGAAGCTGCAGGGCCAATTTTGATAGTAATTATCTGAGGCTGGGTCAGCTCACTGGATGTTATTATCTCCTGCCAAACTAAAAAATGAAACTTATGAAAAATGAAACCTGTAATGATCCCAAGTGGTCAGAACCTACTAATGGAAGTCATCCAGAAACACAGATATTCCTACTGCAAAAGATATCATTTGGTGGCATTTCTTCTGATCTGCTGTGAAGGGAAGAATTCTAGTTAAAAATTCATTAATACTTTGTGAATCTGATTTTCTAGCACTGTTGACTCTCATCCTATTAGAAATGCTGAATTCATCCCATAACCATGTGGGCTGCTGGTGTCAGATGGGACAGGGGAAAGAAGTGTTGTGGGCACCTGGTCTCTGAGTGATGCCATTGCACACATAGGTCCTGTAGTTCTTCCAAAGGTCTTTTGTTTGTGGAAGCAGTCCTACTATTGAGTGTAGTCCCTCTATTAAATATCCTTTAAAATTACTTACAAGCTTAATGGATGAGACTTTAAAATGCTTTTCACTATCATACCTTCTGAGAAGTCATGTTCACACTCTTCATTCTCACATTGGTCTCTTCAGGAATTCCATCATTTTTCTTGACACGTGGTGTTCTACCTGAGATTTATCAACCAGTAGAAAAAAAAAAGAATTTTGCTCCATATTATTTCTAGACGTATTGCTTATGCCCAAGTCTGGCTTGTTACCTTTTTAAACCAGCCACACATAATATAAAATCCAGTTTCTATTCTAGAAGAAGATCTCATAAAATTGATTCAGAAAAGCTCCAGAATTTTGCTCTGTGTGATGTGACTATCAAGATATAGAGGATGTGTTTCAACATAAAGCAGAAATGTCTGCAAACACTGATACCTAAGAATAAGAGGAAGCCTTTGTTCGTTGAATCCTCAGAGGTCTTGCCACACCTTGACTTATATCTCATATCGAGCTGTCTTTCATGTGTCTGATTTAGACACTGCAGTAGATCAGAGCTGGGGAAGGTACATCCAGCTTTCATCACCAGCTTGTCAATATAAGGAGAAGTGACATGACAAGAACACGTCCCAGCATGTTTGTTAGGGATCCCTCACCCATGAAGTTTATAATCCTTTCAAACACAGAAACTCTGTGATTTTAAAGCAGCTTTGAGGGGTTCATAGAAACTAAATGCAGAAAATATGGAGTGAGTGGAAGATAAAGTAAGTTCCATATCACTTAGTGATTTCCTTTAATCGCAGGAGAATGTTTTAAAGGAGAAGTAAACTCTTTTCTGTTCTTATTAAATAAAGCAATACATGAACTTGCTGTGTTTTCAGCCATTTTGACCAATTGTGTGACCAGTTTAGCTGTAAACTTTTTTATTTGAGCGAGTGTACCCCTAGATTACTTAAGGAGGATTGGCAATAGTACTACCTTTCAAACCTATACTTCTGGTTGAATTCGTGATTTACATTAAAAACAGTTTTTAAAACAGATTACTGGTTTTCATACTGCAGTTCACCAAGACAGACAATTCAATTAATTTAAAATCACTGTCAGTTTCTGCAATCAGCACTACAGAAGATCACATGATATCTTAGTAGATATTTCTATATAGTTGTAATAATGTCATTATGTGTTTAATATATAAATATCTCCCAAGAATATTTTTAAAATATTTACACTTTTAAAATATTCATGAAAGCAGTGAACTTGTCACATCCATGTCAAAATCCAACTACATTTATTTAATTTAAATATATGTTTCATTTGGCACAGAGAACTTTGGTGAGGGAAAATGGTGAGCAGAGTTTTTAGATGAATTTCCCCTATCACAGTCACAGTGCTCACACTGGTCTTTGGATCTTATTTCTCATTGCAACTCTGGGAAGTTGCTCCAGCAGATCCCTCCATGTCCCTGTGCTGCAACAATGAATACAGTGACTCTTTCAAGTGACCACTTGAAGGGGCAGAGTTAAGGTTGCTTTGTTTTTCTTTTCCCTGACAATACAACTTCCACCTTTTCAGACCTGAAAAATTCAGATCTGAAGTGCAGTAATTCTTCACTCCCTGTTTTTGAGATGTTTGAGTGACAGTGAACTTTGCTTTTTAGAAGCTCAGAACACTGTCAATAACCTTAACTATGTGTGTGATGGGTTTTATCATCGAATGATAAGAAAACCTTTCCCTGCACTAGTTCTCCTATCTCTCTGTCACTGTTACAATAACTTGTTTTCCATGATTGCCTCTAAGGTGCTGGTTTTGACTTTGCTGATCACTGCCACAGGAGCATGGCCAACAAATATCCAGGAATGGCAGCGGATTAAGGCAGAGCTTCCAAGAACAACAGTGAATTAATCAGGTGATTTATCATCTGCCACCAACCACCTTTTCCTATGGTGTTCTATAGTATTCAGGTGAGCCTTCAGCCCAGTTAGGAAATATTCTCAAGACAGGTTTATTTATTGAAAGTGTATGTGTGCAAGTTTCTTAAATAATGTGGTGGGCTGGAGCTGCACTAACATAATCTTATCAGCATTCAGTATCACTGGCTTTAGAGAAAAAAACAAAAAGCAAATGCATGAAAATGAGATGAGATAAAAATTCAATCAGAAGAATAAAATATTTTTTGCAATTGTTTTATTCATTTTCTTTCTCACACAATTCCGTTACCTAAAATATCCTGTCTTAAGCATCCACTTTTTGGCATATGTTCCAAAATGTATAAACCTGGCACACATGAGTGGAGGATTTTTAAATTACTAGTGAGGAACTGATATACTTTCACTTTAATCTGAATTGGAAATAGCTCAAATAAAGAATAACAATGTTGTCTGCAGAGATACTGATGTAAATAGATATTTCAGAGCACAATCTTTTATTTTTATTCTTTATTCATAACTGGTAAGGAACTGTAAATAACTTCATAGTGGATGTTGATGATTAGAATCAAAAGGGAAAAAATTGGAAGTTATAGGAAATTGGAAAAGTTCTTACAAAGTTCTGTATTTACCCATTTCTTTCCTCTTTTCTTCTTTACATGAAAAGAATTGGAGTTAAAATTTTAGTTAAAATGTTTTTGCTTTCCTAAGTTGGGACGTTTTTCCTTGTTTTTTAACTCTCATTTTATCACTCCTCTTTTTATGAAAATAAAAGATGGGGACATCCAGCAAGCTTTGCTCTAAGTGTCTAGCTCAGCCCCTTTGGTAAGTCATTTTCTATATGTACTTTTTGCCTTTTCCACATGTTTGATATATGTTTTGCTACATGTTCTCTCTCCAGATTTTTTGAGAAGAGACCTAACAAAAGATGTCAAAATGAATAAGCCCAGTGTGCTATACAAATACCCAGACATTTGCTCACTGGCTCACATAACTTCAGCTTTGTAAATCTGGAGACCTGCAGCTTTTTGTGGGGAGGGACTGTCATTTTTAGAGAAGAACATCTTAATTATACTGTATCTGTTATGTTTTTGTTATTCATTAACTAGAGCCCACTACAAGCTGATATTTATCAGTTATGGATATCAGATATATATATCAACTATATAATAGTTTTGGAATAATTTATGGTTCCTCTTACAGCCTGTTTTCTATCAGCAGACTATGAAAAACTTACATGTTCTATTTAAGCTTCACAAGATTCCTCTGAGGTTGATAAAACATAGGTCACTGTCTTTCCTAAATACAAATAAATAAGAAGGTACATAGCCTGTATATTCTGAATAACAGCTTCTACTTTTTCTTCACTAAGAGCTCAGAGTTCCTCAGTCAGAGTTAGGATTCCTGCTGAGGAGCAGCATGTGTCTGTATATTAGCTGCCTGAACTCCTTTCAAAACTCAGTGTGCTTACGTTATTTAGAGACCTTGATATTATTTTTATGAGTGTACACATATTATTTTGGTCTTATCACACTGCTTGTTTTGGCACACTTGGACATCTAGCAAAGATACAGGACGGAGACCTAATTGTTAATTATAAGCTTAAACTCTCATTGCAATAAACAGAGGGGGATATGTGCACAGAAAATAATTCAGGCTACAGTTCAGCTCCAGAGTAATGGAATTGCTTTAAAAATTCCACTATATGAACTTTTTGCAAGTACAGAGCTACTTCTTTTGTAGTTTGAGCCATAAGCATCAGATTTTGTGTGCAATTATAAAGTTTAGTAATATACACTGCTATGTTAATTTAGAATTTCTATAGTGGCTGTATCCCAAACTTGAACACCCATGGTTTGGGGATATTTTCAGCTGTGAACTGTATCTGTGAAGACTTATGTACCTTCCTTTAAAATAACTGGAAGCCTTAGAGCCTTCTCAGATCTCATACTTACCTTAAAATTCATGCTGATATTTTTACAGTATTTATATTTTGCATGTATGTTGTGGAAATAGGAAACATAACAGTGATGACCTACAAAGATGCAAAATGTGTCCAAAAGGATCAAATTTTGTCCAAATTTGCCAAATTAATCTTTTGGGTATGAGTGAAATTGTCCTCAAACTACTTATAAGTGTGGGGTTTGCTATTAATTTTTGAGTGATGCTTGACTTGGTTATCTTGCTGTGAATAGAAGAAAATAAAAAATTTAAACTTTAAAATCTCAATATGAAGAATGCCAAAAGGAGACAAATTCATATTCTGCATGCAGAGAATGATCATGTTCGTCCTCAGAAAGATCTGCATTTTGTATCCTCAGCTCTTTTCAACTGTAATATGCATAACTCTTCTCTCTAGTTCAGTTGAGCTCAGTGTACAGTACAAAAGAATCCAGAGGAAAAAATAGCTTTATGCCAGCTTCTCAGATCTCCAGTTGGAATTCATTTCAATGACTGTTGTGGGATAAAGAAAAAATTATTATAATCTACATATTGCATAGGCTGTTCTGATATTAGAGTTTAAAAATATTCAGAACATTTTTTTTTTGCCACTGTAGAATTTCTCTGTTACTTTCCACTTGCTTAAATTTAGCAGAGACAAAAAGCGATGGCTTGCTGAATTTAAAGTACAGCAACATTTCTAGAAGGGCATAAGGAGCTCCCAAAATAATGGAGAAGTGATCTTAAGTCCTTTATGTTTAATACATTGATTTTATGTGTACTCAACAAAAAGGAATGATCCGAAGAGCTGTAATAAGTCCTGTATTTGTTATCACAATTGTAGTAGTATTTATGGTTAAATACATAATGGCCATATCTCATTTTGCACCAACACACTTTCATCTAAAAAGAAAATCCCAAATGTGCTGGGCAAAGGATCCCCCCTGCCAATAAAGTGAGTCACGCTTCAAGGTCTCAGTGTGTGCATCACCCTGAGTATTATAAAAGCCTATGAAACCATCAACAAGTTATGCTTTAACATCATTCCTCAAAGTTGCATCCTTACTTCTGAAACTGAGTTCTCAGGGATTCCAGTCAGTACCCCAGTGATGTGACATCCCTGGAAATATCATGTACTGGGAACTGATGGATGACAACTGCAGGCACCACAGATATTTGATGAATATATTACAGGTCCAAAATACTGCTGTTTTACATGTGCAATGCAAAGTTACTTTAGCTGAAAGTTCCTTATTAATTCAGGATTCATAAAATTTTTAAACTAAAGTATAAATTAGCCTTAAACAATATGGAAAATGCACTGTAGATTAGGAAGCAGTACCAATTATTTGCTCTTTCAATAATTAAAACCAAAGCCTGACCCAAGAATAACATAATGTTAATTCTCCAGTAATCTGGCAATTTAAGAGAAATAATTTCTTTCTAGATTCAAAGGAAACTCCTGCAAATTAATAGAGAATAATTTCACTTTGTGTTTGTAGATAATCTTTGCTGAATTCACTCTTGTAAAATGTCCATTTCACATGTGGGACTTTCATGCCCTTTCCCAATTCTGTGGTGTAGACTGCTCCTGATTTTCAAAAAGCTGTGCTAGAATAATCTTTTAATATCAATTGTAAGTGCCATTAGACTAAATAAGCTGCCTCCCATGAGTGCTGTAAGTTTTAAAGGGGAAATGAATCTCTTTTCAGCTTTATACAAATAATTTAGCCAAAACAATGACATTGCAAATAGAATTTCAGAGAAAACCACTTACATTGGTGGGTCTCAGTGTCTCCTGGGTCAGAAATCCTGGTAATAATTTAATCTGTAGAAGAATAGGAATTGAGGTATAGGAATAGGAAGTGAGGTATTTCTGAAGAACTGGGCTGACTTACAGGAGTATATATATTTTTATAAATCTTACAAAATAAAGATGTAAATAAAATTCCTTTTATTACAGTCAAAGACATATGAGAATATAATTTATGATTTGTCTTTATTAGCATTTTTCAGGCTAAAAGGGCTGAGCTGCTCAGTCACTGCCATTGCAGCAGGACTGCAGTTGGCCTGGAGTGTCTCAGAGTTGAACCATCAATTATCTGCCTTAAGAGAGGGAAAACAAACATTACAGATAAAACCAGCTTTTAAACTTCACTTTTTCTGTGGCTGTCACCTTGTCTAACAAGACCACAGAATTGTAGAATATCCCACCAGAAACATCAAAGTCCAACTCCTAGCCCTTCACAGATGTTTCAGAAAAACAATGTACACAAGCCAGTAAAGGAGAGAGGTGGCCATACTCAATAAACAAGTCTGCTGCATGCTTATATACATCTATATGTGGAAGTTAAGCAGGCTTCTTGACACTTTTTAATATAGTATTTTAATTTAGGGAACTGGATTTATGATGTTTTTTGTAATACATCATCTGTGATACTTTCATCTGAAGCTAATTAATTTCTAAACTTTTATTCACAAGCAAATCTAGCTAATAAAAACCCTGTCAAAATAGCCTTACAGTAATCTGTTTTTAAACATTCTACCAGACAGACAAACCTAAAATGTGCACTGTTAAATTAAATGCATTCAACCTTCAGTCTGTGCATAGGATTACAATCATACAGAGTTAGAGTATTTAATTCAGTGGTTTGTCCCAGAAATTAATATGAGATAGAGGAGTGTATTTCATGTCAATCAAAATTATTTGAAGATTCCACACCTTTTTATGATTTCAAATAAGTCTGCTTTTTTCAGTGTTGTTAGAAGGTAAGGCTTATTTTTTAATTTTTATGAATTCTGAAGGCTTATACAACTCCCTGTGTATTTCCACTGTTTAGCCTATAATAGTGGGGGTTTTTTTCACTTCATAAATATCTAGGTTTGTAATTTTCTACTATTACACTTTTTGGGAATTATTAATTAATCAATTAATTAAAATTACTTATTAAAAGTATCCAGGACTCCAACAATGTCAATGAGACTCCACAGGTTTGGGATCTGCCTCTTTATATACCGACGTACCTTTAAAAATAACAGTACATTTACACGGTACCAGAGCAGAAAATTAGGCTCCTACCTCTAGTCTGCTATGTTATTTTTTATTCCTTTCTAGTATTCCTTGCCCTGGCTGCCGTAGAGTGTAGCTTTGGGGGATGTAGAGTTTCTATATATCTTTTGAAGAAATGAGAACGAATTTCAGATGCAACGTGTTACTACCTGTTCAACATGATTTCTGAGAGGCAAAAAGCCTGACTGTGCTTTACAACTTTGATTTGTGAATCAATTATTTTTATCTAGCTTGAAGTAGTTTCATCAGCTTCAACTTCACGCAGTATGGTGCTATGTAAAACTAAAAACCTTGGTTGTTGGCACCTAGTAAGTGTTGACTAAGTTCCATATTTCTGTGCTATTTGAAGTATTCCAATTTTTATATTTTTAACATATTATAAAAGGGCAAGAAAGTACATGATGGAAATTTTGGGGCTCATTAGTTCATCTTTGACATAATTCAGAAGACTTAAAGTCCAATTTAGCCAGACTTTGAGGTAAAAAAGGGTATAAGTCGTGAAATACAAAGAAGTGCATTAGTTTTAATTTGTCTGTAGCTGTAATGGAGTTGGTATGCTCCCAGCTCTCTGTCCATTCATCAATACAGAACCTCCACAAACCAGCATCTCCCCTCATTTTTCTTCCACGGAAGTGCTACAGCTCCATTTTGAGCAAAATATAATTGATTGCATTTGGACAAGCCTTCTTGTAAGATTAGTCACATTTTTAATCAAAATGTCATGGGGGCACAGAGGTAACATGTGCAAGGGAGTTCTTTGTGTGCGAGGGATTCATTGCTCGGGAGCAGCTGCAGATGCACAGCCTTGTGCTGT